AAAATTTGAAATTTTTTTTGGGGAGATCGACCAAAGTGCCTTTTTTTCAAAAAAAATATATTCAAATGTCACGTGAACTGTATTTTTTACTAGACTGTCACGTGACGTAATCTGTTACGACTAGTAACGAGTTACGTTTGCCAATAATTTTGTGACACGTGGCTCATTTTTGCAGAAAAAAAATGTTTGAAGATAATTCATTATTAATGATAGCGAATTTAGTATGCAACATGACCACGTGTCATAAAATTATACGTAATTCACTACCGATCGTAATGAATAACGTCGCGTGATAATTTGGTAAAAATATTATTAGCATAATATTTGAATAAAAAATTTGTTAAACAGTTAAACTTTGATTACTGTTCTCATTTTTTGAGTAATGTACGGGTTATGATCAATTAATGCAGTGCAATAGTCACATCAATCCCTTACACTTGACGTTATTTCAATTTATTTATTCAAGACAAACGAAAAAGAATAATGATCAAAATGTCAGATGAAGAAAAAAGTATAAATAATTATTAAATAAAGATTTAATATTTCTAATATTACAAGAAATAAAATTATTTTTTATACATATATAAATGTAAGGATATATTTTTCTTATGTTGTAGGAAAGAAATTATCTTATGTTATACAAATAAAAGTATAAGTGAGACTCAAATGTAAGAGGAGAGAGAAAAAAATGGTGGGACCCAACCTCTTTTTGTGTGTATAGGAAAATTGTTTATCTCATGTAAAATGAGATAAACAAAACCCATAAATGTATATAGATCTTATATGAAGTCATTTGAAGAAAAAAAGAAAAAAGGGAAAACTCATATCTATTATATATATAAAAGATAAATTTTATTTTTTATACTATGAGAGAGATTAAACTTTTTAAATAAATATAAAGAGATAAAAAGATAAAATCCTTATTAAATTGAGAAATTTTGTTAACGTGCACCACTAACAAACACGTCAAGAGACAATAAAGAAAAATGATAAATATTTTATCCTTAAAATAATTGAAAATAGTGAAATACCATTTCATACTTTATCCTATATATATATATATATATATATATATATATATATATATATATATGAATTTTATTAATCTCATGTTAAAGGAGATAAGTTATCTCATGTCGTAGAGATAAATTTTTGGGCTCCATCATCTGAAAAATAAAAATAAAAGAAAAGAAAAAAAATAGCACAGTTATCGAAGAATGTGTAGGAGAGAAAGTTATCACATGTAACATAAGAGTAGTTTTTTCCTATATATATATAGTAAAATCATATTTAAAGTTGTTGTACATGCAACAATGATAAGTATATGATTTTCCATATTTAAACTTTCACCTTTTGTGTGGTTATAATTCCTCACATTAAATGCTTTAATTTATGTAAAATTATTTCTGCAGCCGCTTTACGTACAACAACGACAAGTGTATGATTATGATTCCTTACATTTAATGCTTTTATCCTTTGTATGGTTATGATTCCCCGCATTTAATGCTTTCAAGTATATATATGACAAATATTTGATTGCTGCACGTACAACAGCTGCAGAAATGATTTTACCTATATATATAAATCCATATATATATATAGCGTTATGTTTATCTCATTTTACATGAGATAAACAACTTTCCTACACACACAAAAAAGAGTTGGGTCCCACCATTCTTTTTTCTCTCTCCTCTTACCTGTGGGTCTCACTTATACTTTTATTTCTACAACATGAGGTAATTTTTTCCTACAACATAAGAAAAATATATCCTATATATATATATATAAGTAAAATCATTTCTGCAGCCACTTTACGTACAGCAACAACAAGTGAATGGTTATGATTTCCCACATTTAATACTTTAATCCTTTGTATGATTATGATTCATCGCATTTAATGCTTTCAAATATATATATATATATATATATATATATATATATATATATATATGGCAAGTATTTGATTGCTGCACGTACAACAGCTGCAGAAATGTAAATTCCACACACACACACACACATATATATATATATGGGGAATGATATTGTAACAACCAAGTTATGTTACTACCAATCAATCTCACCGTTAGATCGATTATATTGATCCAACGGTTATATTTATTTCTATCTTTGTATGGTCATGATTTTCCAAATTTAATACTTTGTATTTATTTCCACCTCTGAATGATTATCTCATATTTAATGCTTTCACTTTAAATATGGAAAATCATAACCATACAAAGATGAAAATAAATATAACCGTTGGATCAACATAATCAATCTAACGGTGAGATTGATTGGTAGTAACATGGTAGTAACACAACTTGGTTGTTACAATATCCTTCCCCTATATGAGTAGGATTATATTTATAAAGTTTTTCTTTACAAACTATACTGTGTACTCCTCCAGGGAGTTAAGAAGCACGGACACACATATTCTTGAAAAAAAAATGCGTGTAAAAAATGTGTTGGACACTGATACGTTTCGACACATTTCTTTCTCTCACTCAAAATAACATAATCTATAGTCTAGAGTGAAATGATACAATAAAAAAAAAACAAGTATTGATATTTTTCTGACACGCATTTGATAGATTTAAAATAACATAATTTTTCTTTACAACTATAGTCCAGAGTGAAATGATACAAGTTGTGTTATTTTTCTCATATATATATATATATATATATATGGTTTTATGGGTATAATGTTAAATGACCTAAGAAAACTTTCCTCCACACACAATTAAGAGGTGGGGTCCACATGTTTTTTTTTTCTCATTCATTATTTCACTTTCTCTCTCTTCTTTATTGTGAGTGTAAGAAAATTTTCTTTGCAACATTATACTCATTAAACCCATATATATAAGGCTTTAATGTTTCTAAAGTGAAGGCAGATATGTTATCTACATTCGCTCCCAAAACGACGTCGTTTTGGATTGAAAAATAAAAAAATTACGATGAAAAAGTCTATTATAACCCTGAAATAAATTATAATTACAAAAGTAACTTGATTTCTGCCTTAAAATGACGTCATTTTGGGCTCAATGTAGATAAATTATCTACATTGACACTAGAAAAAGCAAATCCTATGTATAAACACGAAATTACGAAATTACTATATATATATATATATAAGGGTTTTACAAGAGTTATGTTGTAGAAAAAGTGATTGTGTAATGCTATAGAGATTCGTTTTGCGTGCTAGTAGTTTTTTTTCTTCAAAAAGGTGTGGGCCCTATAAAATGTTGTGGGTAAGAAAGTTTATTGTGTCGTCTTAAATGACAAATGCAAACCCGTATATATAAACACGAAATTACCGCTCAATAGTCCTAGTCCAGACTCAAGTGTGAACACAACATCGCTTGTTTGCTGTCTTTGTCTTCATAGGCATAGTTAGCTGCTAAAAATTCAACTCAGAGATTGTTTTCCATTTTTGGGTCACATTCACATTCACCTTCTCCGCCAGGTTTTGGATCAGGTACCTTTCTGCTTCTCTTATCCTCTTCATTCTCATTCTCATTCTCATTCTCATTCTCTGTTTTTTCAATTCTAAAAAGATATATCTGAAATAATACGTTCCCATTGTTGTGCAACATATAAATGTCCCCTTGTCATACAACATGCTCTGTCTGATTTTGCACCTTCACTGCTACTTGTGAGAGCTCTTTGGCATCTTATTAACATATCTTAGTCTCTGCATAGGAAAAACCAAAATTAAAAAAAAAAAAAAAAAAGAAGTTTCAATAGACATGTCTGTAATGAGGTGTAGGAACTGGTATGGGGAGAGTAGGGTAGGCTAAAGTGGTTGATTTGATCATAGGATCAAGAATTCCCCAATGAGACTCAGTGGTATTTGAGTTTCTGTGCATCTTGTCACGGGACTGAGCTGTTAACTAAATTTCAATCACTTTAGATTCCAATTGGAAGCTTCAAATTTTGTTGTGTCCCCCCGGTCCATGCTTATTTATTGCCTTAGTCTAGTTTGATATGGAAAATGGGGTGGCACTGGCATGGATCAAACTCTTGGTCTAGTCTAATAACAAGTCAAGGGACCATTTATTCTGAAATCTTAAAACTGTTAATTGAATCCCCATTAAAATGTTTTTGATTTATATCTCTAACACATTCTGTTTCCAAGTTAGCTTCTCTAATCTTCCGCTCACGAGTTTCCTTCTTTGTGATTCTAGAATTTAATCTCAGAAGTTTTAGTTGGGGATAGCATAATTAGATTATAATGACATGCTTTGATGAGGAGGTCCTACAAATGATGTAAATCAATCACTTGCCAATAAGGGTAAACTTTTTCATACATTCACTTATAGATGCTGTTTATTAGTGTAGCTACATCATATTTAGAGCATTTCAAGAAATGTCAATACTTGCTTTTTTTTTTTTTGACATACTTCTGTTGTATTAACAAAGTTCATGGAATTGTAGAAAGCATTTGATAGATTTAATGAATTTATCTGAACTGGGAATATGCCATGTAGGTCTTCCTGATTAAATCTGTCCCAATTTAGACAATAGTGGTCGCTGAAAAAGATGTTTATTACTTACTGATTTAAAATGTGTATCTGCCCTTCACGCTTCATATTGCAAATCTCTAATGAATCTTTTCTTCTTTGTTTTTTTTAAATATCATGAAGCAATTTTATAAGAGTTGCTGGAGTGGTTCTTTTGCACATATTAATGGAATGGAATAATATTTTATCATAGAGAGTAAGATAATAAAAGTTTCAGTCATTCATGGTTTACATAGTTGTTTGCAATCTAAAACTATGCATGTGATCTAATTCTTAAATAAGTTAATACTACGGATTGGACAGTACATATTATGCTTGTTACCATACATATATCATATATGCATATACGAGTGAGGAAAGATGATGTGGATTCTGAGTCATTTCATCTCTAATTGCCTTTTTTGTTTTCTTGGTACAATCATTTGGAACATGTGTTTATGTAGTCATGTTCATCACATTCAGGAGGGATTTGGGTATACAATGTATCAAGGAGCTTTGAAGAAGAACAAGTTGCCTGCAAGAAGCTTTGATATTCATTCTGGCACTATAAGAGACGACACAATACACGATTCTCACCAAAATAAATGTGTAGCTGTAGAAACGGGTGTATCTTCAGCAGAAAAAGGTATTACTTCTTCAGTAAAATCAATTACTGAAGCTCCTTCAAGTTCTTTTGAGTTTTATGTCCGTTCAGAGGAGGGAATTAATCTTCATGTTGATTTAAATTGGTCCCCATCAGATTGGACTAACAGGTTTAGAAATGAGGTTTGTGCGAGTGAGAATGTGTTTAGAAAAGAATCCAGGAGTCTTTGGCAGCATATCGGTTGCTTAGGAGAGTGTTCTACCCGAGGGGAAAGTTCATTTTTATGGAATATAAATTCTGGCCAAATTGATGATCATAATGGACAGACCAAATCTTCCTCAAACTTGAAATTGGCCAAAGATGTTGTTACAGGGTTAGATCAACAGAATAAAGGTGGCAGTCCTTCAATATATGATTCATTAACTCCATGCAGCATAACCATAAATGATGCCAAAAATGTAAAGGAAAATCAATCGACTGTCTCAGCTGAAGTTAGTTATGGTGCAGCAAACAATTATATTTCTGGTTCTGAATCTTGTGCTAAAGATGCGTCTAAGAAAATCCTTGATTCAGATGCTACTGATACTCCATTCATCAAGTCAATATGTGGTTCTGTTGACATGTCATTGTCAGATCCTGACACACTAAAGCGTCAAAAATCAAAGCCTGATAATGAAATTTCTGAGGATTGTGTTATGCTAAATGGTTCTTGCTCTGTGAATGCTGGTATGATGTGTCCTGAAGCTTCATTAAGTGGTTCTTTGGAGCTGCCAATTTCAGAAGTTGCAAGTTTGTCATAAATATGCACCACTTTCACTCTGTGAAAGTGATGGATTCCTGAATTTAGATGATCCTAGGAACACTTTTGATGCAAAACTGGATAGACTAGTCAACTCAAGCAAGATTAATTTGGATACTGATGGGAAGAATCTCCCATCACTAACTGAAGAATGGGTATAGTGCTTTCTCTAGCCTTCCAGATGTATGTACACTTTTTCAAATTTTTTCCTTTTTCTTTTCAGTTAGAAGGGTTTCCATTTGTGAGTGATTTCATATGGCTAAATCATTAAAATCATCTGATTTAGTACTTGGTTTATTATGCATATTATTAATAAATGTGAAATTAATCTCATTATTACATTATTCATATTATTACTAAATGCTATTGCCTGACTTATGCTACTTCTTGAAGACTTTCAGATTTTGAAATCTTTCAAATCAGAGTAGGGTTCTTATTAGTCAAATTGGTATCTCTTTCATCGTACTTTGATCAGTATTTATGTGCTATTGTATTATCTCATTATTTGCTGGCTGTTTTCTAATGTAAGAGCTCTCGAAACTTTTGTGTTTTGTCCTCTATTTTTAGAATAGTCCTTTTTTAATCCATTGTAACACACATGTGAATGCAACTTTTGACCTGTCATGTTTGTGTGTGTTGGAGAAGGTGATAAGGTATAGGGTTTGTGAGGGAAAAGAATATAGATTTCATGTATTATTGACAGTTGCTAAACAGTTCTGAGGGTCCTTTACAAGCTTATTGGCTTACTGCTCACATGTGCCTAATATTTGTTTTGTTTTTGTGAATTCACTTGTGTTAAGTATATAAAATATCATGTTATTTGCAGGAGATTGGCAAGATTGTTAATGGAAGGGAGAGTTCAGAGTAATTACTCTTCTCAGAAACATTTTTGAGCGTTCTTTAAGCTTTTATACAACTGATTTTAGCATATTCATAATGTGATTCTTGCAGATGCTCCCAATTTGATGACCCACTTAAGAAGGCTGGCCATGACCGTGATGATCAGGAATCTAAAATGAAACTTCGCAGAAAGAGGAAACACATAGACTCCGACGTTCAAGGTTCCAGTGATAAACCTGCCGCAAAATTTTTAAGAAGCATGAAGAATATTGCTGTAACATTCCAGCCTAGAAGATCCCTGCGGCTAATCTCCAAGGTGCTTTTACAATCTTCTGGTGTATTATTACAGCATTAAATACAATAAATAACATAACCTAAAAGTAAACCTTTTTATTCAATTTTTTTGCAGCATTCAGTGTCTTTAATGATGTGATGAGAATGGTTTAACGTGATTTTATATTTGCAAATTTAAACCTCAACTGAACTTTGTTATTACTACTCAAAACCTTCTAAATGCTCCAAATTGAAGCCACAGGATTGATCTGTTTAAATCTAAATTAGATCCTCTTAGGTCTTAGCCAAATTGATACACCTTCTAACTTTCCCTTTTGCCTTCTTCATAAAGGCTAACTCGTTCACTTTTACTCTTGCATTCCTAGTTACCTACCTTACATAGGTATGCCTGGCTTGTGGGAAGGCTTTCTGCATGCAGCATGCTTTACTTTAGATGCTATTAACTTATTTGTTAACTTAAAAAGAAAGTTCTTTGATTGAGAAGTTCTCTTCTATTTGTTTGATGCTACCACATTTTATGATTTTGTTTTTCTTGTCCAGTGATTTAATGGTGTGCTTGTGCACTACATTTGAAGGCATGAGTTCCAGATTTTTCAATGAATCCAAGGGGAAGAATGACATTTAGTAGGTATAAACTATCACTTCATCTGGTTTTGAGAACCACAAGGAATATTGAGATAGGTCTTGAAATCGAACTTTTATATTAGATTATCTGAAAGTTTGGAGATAACCCTTTCTCATGACTTGCAATTATATTCTTTCTGTAAATCGAAAACTTAAATTCTTGGGTTGGACTTGGATGGTTGTAAGTGCAGAATCACTTCGAATATTGTTTTGTATGCTATTGTGCTTTCAAAACATATAAAACAGACATTAGAAATCAATATACATCAAATCCCTCATGAGAACTTTGTATTTTGTTGTTGCTGTTAGCTTTTTTTTGCAGCTTAGTTTCTGCATGTGGACTATATTCTGAGGCAACTTGGCCCTGAATGTCTAATATTATTAATTTAAATTTAAGATGATTCTTTTAAGGGTCGCTATTTTTTACAGCGACTACAGATCTTTTTTTAGTGCAGCAGACACAGAAAAATGGGACCCACTGGTTTTTTTTTTTTTTAAAAAAAAAAAAAAGCCAGGATCCAATGTCATATCTTGGCATTGTTATGTGTTGCTGCAGAAGTATTTTTTTGCAGCAACAGAAGAATTATATTTCCCTTCTTTTAATCATGTTGACTAGCTGCAGGTTGCTTTTTTCTTTTGGAAGAATTATACTCACCGAAAATAAAAAATGTAAGGTAGCCTTTCAGGTAGGTTTTATTTAAGTCAACCATATAAAGTTCTTGGTATTAAGAATTAAGAAATGATAGAAATTATTGTTTCTGTTCTAAGGTGTACTGGCCTTTGAGAAACTCTTTCTACTAGTAGATTTATGTGGATCCGATTATTTATCGTAGAATTTACCTTAGATTAATGTCATCAGTCCATTTGGGGCATTTTGAGTATTGAAAACTTTGCAGGATATCTTGAGTTCAGACACAGTTGTAACTTATACATGTCAGTGAAATCCTTTCAACTAGATTCTTTCTATGTAAACAGATATTTTGCAAGAATAGTCCCCAATGGGGAGTGGTCATACACGTACTCTTACTTAGATAATAAGGAAACAGCAAATTTAAGTCACTTTCGATTGCCACAGCAACTGTTGTTGGTATACGAATCTATGCCCTATAACTTTGAAATTATATGATGCGGAAAAAGGATTCATGACAAGAGTCTGTCTTCCATGCTTATAGAACAAGAATCATAAATGTGTCAAGGGATAATAATTTAAAGAAATCAGTCAATTGATTATTGAACAATAATTAAATTTTGCCCCAAAAAGTGCAAAATATTTTAGGTGTTGGCTTTGAATTAATAATCAATCAAATGATTGTTTTATGGGCTTTATATATATACTGTTACAGGATAAAAAAAAAACAAGTTTCTTGCAGACACAATAAACTGGTGGGTTTCACCAGTTAATTTCTCTCTCTCCATATTATTGTTTCTGATGAAAATTTTTGTTTTCTCCTGTAACGTTATTGTGGTATTTCCCTTGTTTTATCATCAAAATGAAGTTATATTCCTAGCTACTAAGAAGTCATTAATTTCCGTACCTTGAATTCATCAATTTTACTACGATTTTCACGCATTTTAACCACTTCAGCTATACTGCAAGTCTTATAGCATGATTCTTGGTCAATGACTACCTTCTCGATCAAGTTATTATATTTGTGGGCTCGAGGCACAATGTTAGGGTAAAAATAGTATTTTAGTTCATGGCGACCAAAATGAAAGAATTTTGTTTACGGATGCTTTAAAACACACATTAAGTAATCAAAATAGTATTTATTATTTTTTCATTAACTACTTAGAAAAAACAATACGTTTTTGCAAGGTGATTTATTCCAGTTTGCGGCTGCCCTAGACAAGCCCATTAGATAAAATTGAAATAAAAGTAGGCAGAATAATTTATCTCTATTTATTATTAGGGAAAAGTTCACCAATGCCCCTTTGGTTTGCTTCAAAATCACCTATGTTCCTGTGGTTTTTTTTCTATCACATATCTCTCTGTGCTTTGCAAAAGGGTATGTTTTTTATCACATGTGCCCGTGGTTTTTTTTTTTTTTACAAAGCACAGGGGCATATGTGATACAAAAAAAATCACAGGAGCATAGATGATTCTGAAGCAAACCACAGGAGCATTGATGAACTTTTCCATTATTATTATTATTGCAACAAACTGAAACTATTTCATTTGAAAAAGAAGATTGGGTATGTGTTGGTGTTGCTATAGGACTTGAAGACCAGCTAAATAGACTGCTTCCGGACCCCAGTAATTGACTAAGCAGTTTAAAGCTCCAGCAAACTTACATGGTAGAATATTAGGATTAATTAACGCAATTAACATATGATCCTAGATACGATTCGTTAAACTTTAAGATTAATTAGTTAGCCAAATTTGCAAGATGATTTGCTTATTGAAGGCCCCACAATTCTCAAAGGTCATAATCAATGTGTGCTATTTCTATCTTAAGATTGTGGTTAATAGTGATCTTCCACCATAATTTAGTGTTTCAAACGTGAGGGATGAAACTGGAGTCTTTAAGACTGTAAACTAATCAGGCAAAAGTGTTTTTCTCAGTCTCTCTTGGGGGAGACTCAATGGAGACCGTATTGTGAACGTTAATACTATATATATACAACATGTGGTTACTCTTGAATGCTGCTCTCTCTTTTTTCCTTATTTAGTAAGATGTGTCTTCAGTTAGTTGCACTATGAGTTTTGGAAGGTTCATCTCAACTAACTCATTATCCATCATGAAAGTCTAGGAGTGTATTTGTTTCTATAATTTCTTACAGATACATAACTTCGGTTCTTGCAGGCAAGTCTTAATGTAACAATCAAAATTTATACCAGAAAAATGTAAGAGAAAAAAAACCTTAAAAAATTGTATCTATTTTTATAATAACAATAAGGGAAAAATATTTCTGCAGTTAACGCAGATAAGTTATTTGCATTTATTTTCAAAATGATGTCATTTTGGTATTGAAATCTTAAAAAATTTAAAATATAAAGACTACTATAATCATGAAATAAATTAAAATTACAAAAATATCATGATTTCCGCCCTAAAACGACGTCGTATTGGGCTTAATGCAGATAACTTATCTGCAGTAACTACAAAAAAAACAAACCCTAACAATAAAACATTAATTTTTTTAAAACTTTATGACTAAAAAAAGTCATATATAAAAAGGGTTTTATTTCTCTTATGTCACGTAAGAGAAACCTTGTCTCTTGTACATAAAACAAAGGGTTTTATAATTCTCATTTAACATGAGAATTCAAATTTTCCTATACACCCTTCGATTTCCGTGCTGACATGGGTCCTACATATAATTTTTTCTAACACTTGGGTCCCACATGTTTTTTATCTTTACAACATGAGAATTGAATTCTCATTTAAAATGAGAAAATCAAATCCCTAAAATAAATAATGGGACTCGTCCACTTTATTTATAAATAAAAAAAACACGGAAGTCGAAGTACTTTATTTATAAATAAAAAAAACACGGAAGTCGAAGTATGGATAACACACAAATTTTTTATTATGTTACGTAAGTAAAATAAAACCCTATATAAACTACATAAAAGAAAGTTCATGTGAAACAGTCAAAGATAGCAGCAATGGTGCATGATGAGAAAACAAACTCCATTAGCCACACACAAACCCAGGAAAATAAAGAATTCAAATGGATTAGGGACGGTGTGAGGCGTTACATTGTTCAAATGCAATGTTTAGAGTTGATAAAATATACCTCAATTCATGAAAGTAAAATTCGGGAAAGCAGGCATGAAAAGCTCAAAATGCATTAACTATATCATTTAATGCGTTTACCTACACTTCGCCCATTTTCAGAAGTTGCAGTTTTGTATCATTCAATGCACCTTGTCCCTCACTTTCAGTTCTTTCCTGTAACCGCAGTATCCTGCAAACACCTTCAACACAGTCCATCTATCTCCATTCTGAGTTGTTTTCAAGCAATTCACATCTCTTCCACCCCAAACATATATACCACCATGCTGCAAAAAGCGGTGGAACATAAGAGTTTCTGCCAACTTTTACAAAATGTGGCTTTCCATAACTCCCTCTGTTGATCTAGTAAGTTAAAAAGTCAGTTTCTTTATTTCTGAACAATTGAAAACACTTGATGGAGGTAGCTAGCTTTTCTTCTTGTTCAGTTTATCTCTTTTGCCAAACCATAAAAAAAAAAAAAAAAAACATGGAATTTTCTCTTTTAAGCATTGAAAGCGGACAGAAGATCCAATAAAATTCCTTGCTTTTTTATCCAGAATGAAGATTCTGATTTCGCTTGCTATTTGACACCGCCATTTTTTTTTTGGGGGGCCTCTTCTCCCTGCATGGCTTGTTATCCATGAAAATTGTGAAGAATCGTGAGAAAATGGTGTTTTGGTTCGTTAGATGAAGTTTTTAAGACCTGCTCTCCCCTTTAAACTGCACTGCCAACTGGGTTTCTTGCTGAATAGTCAATAAGAATCTCAAAGGAAAGGTGGGAGCCAGAATCTATGTTGTCCAACCAAACATTATTGGTAAAGATTCTACCTTTTTTCTATATAATATAGTTTCTGTGTGTCTCGGTATAATGGGGTTCTCAGTAAGACAATTCTTAATCTACAATTTGAATATGAACCCATGGCCTGTTCTATTTGGGATTGTGGTTTTCTCATGCTTTTGGTTGCCAGTTTCAAGTCTCGGTTCCATGTCTTCCATTGCCATCTCTTATGGCGATAAAGGTGCTGTTTTTTGTGGTTTGAAATCTGATGGATCGCATACAGTGACCTGTTATGGATTGAACTCAGCCATAATTTATGGAACACCTTCCCATTTCACATTCCTTGGTCTAACCGCTGGTGATGGCTTTGTCTGTGGGCTTTTAATGAGTTCTAGTCAACCATATTGCTGGGGTAGCAGTAACCATATAGAAATGGGTGTGCCTCAACCTATGGTTAAGGATGCTCAGTACCTAGAAATTAGTGCTGGGGATTATCATGTTTGTGGATTGAGGAAACCCTTGACGGGAAGACACAGGAACACTTCTTTTGTTGATTGTTGGGGCTACAACATGACCAAGAACTATGTGTTTGATGGGCAGATTCAATCAATCTCAGCAGGTTCTGAATTCAATTGTGGCTTATTTTCCCAGAATAGGACTGTGTTCTGCTGGGGAGATGAGACTAGTAGCCAGGTTATTAATTTGATTCCTCAAGGCATGAGATTCCAGAAGGTCTCTGCTGGTGGGTATCATGTGTGTGGAATCTTAGAAGGGGTGAATTCTAGAGCTGTTTGTTGGGGAAGGAGCTTGGATATGGAGGAGGAAATTTCATTGATACATTCAGGACAAGCACAAGGTAAAGTTGATTTGGCTCCAAATGATCCAATGCTTTCTGTAGTGGGAGGAAGGTTCCATGCTTGTGGCATTAAGAGCTATGATCGTGGTGTGATTTGCTGGGGCTATAGTTTAAAAGCAAGCACACCAGTTCCTAGTGAGATTAAGGCATTTGAGATTGCTGCTGGTAATTATTTTACCTGTGGAATACTTGCTGAGAAATCTCTTCTTCCTGTTTGTTGGGGTGTTGGCTTCCCTACCTCTCTACCAGTGGCTGTGTCACCAAGAATGTGCAGGTTTACTCCATGTCCTCCTGGTTACTATGAAATTGACCAGGATCAGCAGAAGAGTCTTTGCAAGTCCCCAGATTCTCACATTTGCATTCCCTGCAGTGGTGTTTGTCCTGATGAAATGTATCAGAAAAGTGGATGCAATTTGAAATCTGACAGAGTATGTGAATATAATTGTTCTATTTGTTCCTCATCGGTATGCTTCTCCAACTGCTCCTCTTCTTATTCCAATGCTGCCACTGGGAAGAAAAATGAAAGATTTTGGTCTCTGCAGTTGCCAGTTGTTATTGTTGAGATAGCTTTTGCAGTTTTGATAGTTATTATTGTATGTATAACCGCAGTTTTGTATGTTCGCTACAAGCTAAGAGATTGTGAATGTTCAGTGAGAGGGTCAAAGGTGAAGAAACTTAACGGGAGTTCTTCACTCCAAAAGGAAAACAGCAAGATCCGCCCGGACTTGGAGGAGTTCAAGTTTAGGAGGGCACAGATGTTCACCTATGAGGAGCTTGAAAGAGCAACTGGTGGATTCAATGAAGAATCCATAGTGGGAAAGGGAAGTTTTTCGTGTGTGTTCAAAGGGGTTCTCAGAGATGGGACTGTTGTTGCTGTTAAAAGGGCCATAATGTCTCCCAACATGCAGAAGAATTCCAAAGAGTTTCACACAGAGCTTGACTTGCTCTCTAGGTTGAACCATGCCCATTTGCTCAATCTTTTAGGCTATTGTGAAGAAGGTGGAGAAAGACTTCTTGTTTATGAGTACATGGCTCATGGTTCTTTGCATCAACATCTCCATGTTAAAAACAAAGAGTTGAAAGAGCAATTGGATTGGGTTAGAAGGGTAACAATTGCAGTCCAAGCAGCTCGTGGAATTGAATATTTGCATGGCTATGCTTGCCCACCTGTGATTCATCGAGACATCAAGTCTTCAAACATCCTCATTGATGAAGAACACAATGCCAGAGTGGCTGATTTTGGTTTGTCATTGCTTGGTCCTGCAGATAGTAGCTCCCCACTAGCTGAGTTACCAGCTGGTACTCTTGGTTATCTTGATCCTGAATACTACAGGCTTCATTATCTCACCACAAAATCTGATGTCTACAGCTTTGGTGTTCTACTTTTGGAAATCTTAAGTGGTAGAAAAGCCATTGACATGCAATATGAAGAAGGGAACATAGTTCAATGGGCAGTGCCTCTTATTAAGTCAGGAGATATAGCTGCAATTCTGGACCCAGTTTTGAAACCTCCTCCTGATCTTGAAGCCTTGAAAAGGATTGCTATTGTGGCTTGTAAAAGTGTGAGAATGAGAGGGAAGGATAGGCCTTCAATGGACAAAGTGACAACAGCTTTGGAGAGAGCTCTTGCACAGTTAATGGGTAGTCCTTGCATTGAGCAGCCAATTTTGCCAACTGAGGTGGTTTTGGGAAGTAACAGATTGCACAAGAAATCATCTCAAAGATCTTCAAACAGGTCAGCTTCAGAAAATGATGTGGCAGAAACTGAGGATCAGAGGTTTGAGTTTAGAGCACCCTCATGGATAACTTTCCCAAGTGTTACTTCTTCTCAAAGGAGAAAGTCATCAGGCTCAGAGGCTGATGTTGATGGGAAAAATGCAGAAGGTAAGAACTTGAGCAACAATGTTGGAGGTGGTGGTGGTGGTGGTGATGTTTTGAGAAGTCTTGAGGAAGAGATTGGTCCTGCATCTCCTCAAGAGAGGCTCTTCTTGCAACACAACTTCTAACCTATGAAGCTAATCTTTGAGGAAAATAAGGTTTATATATATTATTGGGATAGAATGCTGCTGCTACTGCCAATGTTATTACAGTTTACATGTAATTTTGTTTTTTTTTTGTTTTGTTTTTTTGAATTGAGTTTCATCATGAATGCAACTCTGACATTTAGTATCTATCTTTTGAGAGATGTGTTTGACAATCTTGGTGAAGCTTTCATTCTTTCTTGCAACTACAGATGGATGTAATGTAACTATCATCACATTTTATTGATTGTAAAGCATATCATCCATGTTCAATTCTATAACAACATTGGCTTCTTTTTGGTTTTATGGTTTTTTTTCTTTTATTTTCTTAATTCATTTGAATGATTAAAAATTGGTTTATTTTATAACCTCCCCTTTGATTGTTACTGGGGTGTAAATGGGTATGGGGTGTAAATGCGTCATATGGCATATCAGAGGCCTACGATCTAGCTTACATGAGGCCACACTCGACCTATTATATATAGTCAAATAGAACAAATTTAAGCTTTTAAAAAAGTCTATTTAGAAAACATGTCATAGATTTTTTTTACATGTCGAGCTTATAAACCTAGTCCGGCTTATATCATATTATTTATTTTAAATTATATGATATTAAAAAAATAGAGGGCACATTATTCAATAAATTTTATTTGTCTTTTTCTTAATTAACCTAACAACTATATATTTGTCATTAGGGGTGAAACTGGGTCAGGCCGGCCTACAGAGGCCTACGGTTCGACCTACATCAGGCCAGATCTGACCTAGTATATTTTGTATAATAGGCCCGGCTTGGGCCTTAAAAAAACTTGTTTAATAAAAAGGCCGGGCCTATAAGCTCACAGGCCAGTCTATATTGTACTATTTATTTTAAATAAAATAAAATAGAGTAAGTATGTCTTGAAGAAAAACAAAAGATATAAATTTAATCAATTGCAATTATTTATAACTTAATTATATTCGATTATATTTTAATAAAAATCTTATTTTATTTCTTATATGGGTGGAACCAACATCTCAACATGTTAGATTATATATATAAATATATTAAAAGATTTTTGGGAGAGTTATACTTACTACAAGCATCATGATTGTTGGATTCATGTAGTTATTTTAATTTACATAGTATGGATTTGTTTATTGGATCTGATGAAATATATGTTAGCATTTTGCTTTCGAAAATGACTTAAGTGCATATTGTATAAGTTTTGTTATGATTCATGATTTTGTTTGGACGTTGAAATTATGATTTTTGGTGTAGCAACTGAATTTGAGTACTTTGTAAAGTTGATTCATGATTCTGCTTAGAAGTTAAAAATTAACAGGCTAACAGGCCAAGCCAGATCATTTGTTTTTTTATAAACGGGGCAAACCAGGCTAACAGTTAGACTCATACTAGACTTGGGCCAGGCCAAATTGAAATGTTTTGACGTAGGCTTGGGCTTTTCGGAGCAAAGCTTGGCCAGCCCAGCCCACTTTCACCCCTATTTGTCATGTAATATGACAAATGCATTTTTCATATTTTAATATGAAGTTTTTATATGAAAGTTCAATATGGATCTTATAGTATAAAATACTTTTTTTTAATTCGGTTTTCACATGAAATCCCTCTAGGTTAATAACCAAGATTATAATTACCAAAAAAAAAAACCAAGATTATCACATTCATCAAAATTCAATTGCACTCAATTACTTGTAAAATGAGAAAGGTGTCCCTCTTATTTCATTGAATAATATTAAATCATTTGAAATTTTATTTTAATTAGCAATAGTGACAAATCAAATTTTTGGAATTTTTAATTAGATGAATTTATTTCATATAATAAATTAATGATGAACCAAATCCAATTTAAATAACATAGGAAAGAATGCTTGCAATGTTGCCGACAATAGACACAAAACTGGAGGATGACTCTTTTTAATATTGTTTTTAAAAATAATTTTTTGATTTTTAGAACTAAAAAATTTCATTTGACAAGACTTGTATTACAATTTTTTTTTAAATTATAGTTTTTGCTTTTATTTTTAGAATCAAATTTAAAGAATATGTCTGAATTATTTTTATTTTGTAATTTGACTTTTAACTTTCAAAATAAAAAAAAAACACAAAAAAACATATGTGTCATAATTATTCTATAAAATAATTTAAACAAAAAACAAAAAAAACAAAACAAAACACGAATAAACAGACAATCTGTACCTGTTTCTACAACAATCGAGAACAACAAATAACTGATTTCGTCATTATAACGCATAAATTTAAAAGTTTTGACCTTAACAATCAAAAGTCAATTCATAATTTCATATATTCAGGATTTTTGTGATTAGCAAGAAGTGTGATGGTCAAACTCAGATAACTAATAGGGCCGTCATGTCCAAAAAAAATATAAATTAAAATGCGAAAGATCTGCCCCCACGCAGGATCGAACTACGGACCTTCAGTTTACAAGACTGACGCTCTACCACTGAGCTATAGGGGCTGCTTTGCTTTGCTTTAACTGTTACTTTATAATGTATGATAATATTAATAAATAATGCGAGCTTGCATTAATTTGCACTTTGGCAGCGATTAAGTTGGACCAATCTCTATTTTCATGCTTTCAGAAATTGAAAGCATTATTTTATGCCCTACAAAACACAAGAAATTAACGTGTCCTTATTGTGGTCAACCTTTAATAAACAATGCTGTTATGGTAAACATTTTTCACTAAATCTATGGACTATAGTTCTTCCCCCCATCTGGTCCACTTTTTCTCATGCATTAAATTTAGGGTTTTATTAGTCTCATTTAACATAAGATAGTTATCTTATGTTGTAGATTTGTAGAGAGAAAATAGATGGGTCCCACCATTACAAGATAAAAGGAAAAAAAAAAAAGTGGGATACGAAAATCGAAGTGAGAGAAAATAAGAAATGATATCTCATGTAAAAGGTGAGTAATATTTCTCTTAAATTTATATCTACTTTACTTTTTCCCGTACCATGTTGGAGGGATGAGCTATAGTAAGCAGAAAAACCCAAAACAATACTGTTGACTTGCGACTTTGCAAGGCTTAGAACAGAGTCCATATTCCCCTTTGGCTGGCTTGGACTAACCAATCACCATACTCTACAAATTCTACAATTACTTGGTCTGGTGGGTGAGGAGGGATTCGAATCCCTGACACCATGGTTCGTAGTCACATGCTCTAATACTCTGAGCTAAAGGTCTCACCCCATCTTTTCTGGATTTGTTCTTCGAAGTACCCTAAAAAAGGGAAATCTTTCATCTCCCCATCCATTTAATTTCGACTTCTATTGAATTGAAAAATAGGTTTGATTGTCCATTTATTTTTGGATAAAATATATATAAGATATTCTCCAGATAATTCAAATCGAACCAATTGGATATACAACTCGGGCCAATATTTTACAACTTTCTTTTTAACAATTAGTTAGAAATAATATAGGACTTTTATTGGCTTAATAAAGTTTTGCATAATATGATAATATTTTGAGATTATTTGTTTTGAAATATATATTTAAAACATCCCACAGTTTTAGTTTCATATTTATAACTCAGTTATACATAGTGTCTAAATTTATTTAGAGAGACACCCCTAATATGGATCCGATATTGCACGAATCGAATTAAACCGGTTTGGAATGATAATAAAAAAAAATTGTCTAAATTTATACGTTTTGTTAAAATAGCAGATCAGCCAAGTCCCATCATAGAAATTAGTTGAGCCATAACAGGGTTGGGTCTGGAATCAGAAAAGTTGGCATAGTCAGATTATCATGTCTAAGTCTAACTCATAAACACCCCTAATTACAGTAAAGCAGTACTATCATATAAAAATGAAAAGCAGCCAATAAAAGTAAATCCATTGGTGGAAGTGGAACGGCTATTGAAAGAAAAGAAAAGAAAAGAACATCTGGTCAGAGCATTCTCAAAACAGTCTCATACTATAAAAAATAGATTCATCATTATTTGAATTCTATACAAAGAAGACAGCCATGGATCAAAATTTACAAAATCTACAATGGAATAATTTAATTCTGCCAAGGCATTTAAATGCCTGTTATGAGTGGTCACATTGTTAGCATAACTTTACAAGAATGGACTCAAAGGACCTGTACATTGTCTGAACTAGTTTCTACTACCAACTAAAGTATCAGAGCATATAATTAATCCAATGAATTATTGAATTACATTGAACATAGCAAACTGAACTACATAACTCACCTGACACCTAAATCTGGAACGAAACAGATACCTAGGTCAGCAATTATATTATATTATTTCACGATTTGCCTAGCAGCTCTTTTGAACCTGATAATTGATTCTGTGTTTCATCCAGTTAAAAAGAATAAAAAGACTAAATAACTGAGAGTTGAAACTATCTATGACTCTGTTTTTCTTTGGTTTCCATCTCCTTCACACTGTCAACTATGTGCTGTATTTTCTTTGAAAGACTATCATTATGCTCCTCGATGTGCTCAAATATCAATTCAAGATGCCTTTTATAGGTTGCGGATCGCTTTTTCTCTATAGCCAGCTGCTGAGATAGTTCTCGAATTTTATCATGTTCGTTCTGGAAATTGCATAAACACAAATAGGTAAGAAGGGGGGGAAACTGAACGGGATCCGAAGAAATGATCTACAATCGCTCAACGTCACATACAAGGTCTCATAAAAACAAACACATGCATATACACCCGCACAAACAGGGTGTTGTCAAAACATTTTCTGGATATATTGATACACAAATTCGAACATCAATCAAAATTGCAATCAATATGCATAGAAATAAGACATTGAAAGTATTGATTAGTTTCTCTTCTTGCTTTTTTTTTTAAACAAGTTTAACTTATTATTATTATTATTAAAAATATGATTGATGAGCATCTTAATAAAATTCAGTGATGAGGTCCTTTAAATTCTAATGTTAATCTACTGCAAAAAGAATCTTTCAAAGTAGCTCAATGATTGTATTTGTAAAAAATAAGAAATCTACACCCATCTAAGCTTTTCTGGTGCTACAGTTAACTCAGAGAACATGAATTACTTTTGGAAGGATGAGTATTATATTTGGGAATTTTTACAAAAAAGCAATGTTGGGTAATTTGTCTAGAGGCATAAGGGGGGAACTCTATTACGTGCTGAATTTAAACTCTTGTGAAGGACCTTATAGACAGTTAATAGTGCTGTGGTGACTGGTGAGTAACAATTTAATCTATCAACCGTATAGTAACAATTAACAGAATAAAAATAATCATGTATACCATCTTTCAGGAATGAAAGAACATGAACTGACCGGATATTGCTCATAAATGCAATCCCTTCGACCTTTTCCTGGTGTCAGAGGATGAGTGTGCTCCTTTACAAACTTTGTAACAACCCATTTACCAGAACTTATTTTCCTCACCAAAATCATTGCCCTGCAACCAACCCTTGTCTCTGCCCTTTGCCTTACAATCTTTTCACGCTTGTCAGGCATTCTATAACCCTCTCTGTTGCAAACAAGAGCCCGTCCAATAGCAGATCCATCACGCCTTGATCGTGAGAGCTTGCTTACACGTATGATGAATCCAACACGTGTAGCATATGCATTATAAAATGCATGTGCTGCGGCTTCTGATTCAAACTCCTGACCCACATATGGCTCATCAGCTGACACAACCGATACTGCAGGTATTGCTAATGGGATTGTGTCCCCTACAGAAAAATCTTGTGTTATATTATCATCTTGATCTTGTTTATAAGTTGGATCCAAAGAACTGCAGCCCGGTTTGTTTTCATCAGCTATGCTGCTACTAACCTCACCCATCATAGCATTTCTCACTGTTTCACTATTAATGGAGCCATCAATCCCAAACTCCACTGCAGCAACAAAAAATCTGCTATAAGATTTTCAGTGCCAGGTGATATTCTACAGAACAGTGTATAAAATTGATGAAATACTCTTTCATTGAAGAGAAAATATAAAAATTATGAAAAAAACAGCAGAAGAACTATATTGTCCCAATTCCAAAATATTCCCGTTTCATTTTTTATTTTAAGAAGAGAGCTTACCAGCAGAGGGTAGTAAAACGAGCACAAAATGATTTACTATTAATATTACAAAGAATCAGAAGAAAACCATACAAGTCAAAGCCACTTATACAGGAGACCTTTAAAATGACACTGAATATTTGTCAATACACTCCTCTACAATAGTTAAAATGGATAACAAGTTACCACGCTGAATCCAAAAAGACTTTTGCCAAAGTCAATGTGAAGGAAGGATTTCCGTCTTTACTATACAAACAAACATTCCATAGTATGGCAAACATCAGTCAATTCCAAACAAATTTTCCTTTTTTTAATATAAAAAAAAAATATACTTCCATTGAATAACAAAGCCCGAAATGGAAAAGAACAAAAAAAGATGAGAAATTTTGAAAATAGTTTTTTTATTTATCAGAAATTTGGTTTTTGATAGAGCCTATTGGCATCAAATGATTGGGACAGTGATTAAAGTGTCACGCTTGGACAAAAAAATTACCAGACTGCCACGCCAACAATAAATTTTGCCAAAATGCCACGCGACATAATTTGCTACACAGTGTAGCGAATTATGTATGCAAGTAATTCGCTACACAGTGTAGCGAAATATGCCACGTCAGAATGCACAGAACCAAAAATGCCACATGTCAAATTTTGATACATAGGGTAGCGAATTTCTCAAAATTTGACATGTGGCATTTTTGGTTCTGATGTGGCATATTTTGCTACACTGTGTAGCGAATTACTTGTATGCATAATTCGCTACACTGTGCAGCAAATTATGCCGCGTGGCATTTTGGCAAAATTTACTGTTGGCGTGGCAGTCTGGTAATTTTTTTGTCCAAACGTGACAAAATGGTCACTGTTCCCAAATGATTTATGTAGCCAACATTATCATGTGGGATAAAGCTAGGATGTTGCAGTTGTTTTGAATTGTAAGGTCTTACAAATAAGTTCGTCACGATTTCTCTCAGCTCAAACAATGGAGAAAATGGGGCAAAAACTAAAAAAATATAACAACAAATATCATTTTTTACTAAAAGAAGCACCCCAAATATTATTCTGTTTATTTTACACTTTTCCATAGCTTATTGTGAATCAAATATGAATAATGCTACTCAGTCAGAAAAAATTGCCACAATTTGGCTGGATTTGAGAGTGATTATTATCCTATGTAGAATAGAGAAGCATATTGAGGTATTATTGTGTTATTTAGGGATTATTACGTTATTATTAGAATTTTAGAGTTCCCTCTAATTTCAGAGATCTTTCATTAACTTAGAGATTTTAAATTTAATTGCGATTAATCTAGGATTTTATATTTGATTAGAATTTTATTATCTTTGGATTACAAATACCTTTCAAGTGTATAATGTTATTCAGACTTTTGCATAATTAATTATTGACATTTCCTTTGAAGAGCACTCTGATTGCCTGTTTGACATGTCTTATTTTTAGTTTCTCTTCTCCTTAAAAGCAGAAGCAACTGGGCTGATGGAATTGTTGGGTAAAATGGGCAGGTTAGTACAATTATTAACAGTGTTAAATATGGACTTAGATGGAAAAAATAATAGGGGAGTTAAGTGATAAGAAAAAAAAGATTATGGGGGTAAGTGATAAAAGAGCATTATACAATAGAGGGGTTTTTGAACCTTTTCCACATGTTCTAAGTTTGCTTGTCTAGGAAATACCCTACTCTTGGGTGACCACTCACTCATACAAGAGTTAACATTCAAGCCCAGTCATTATGTCAAAAATTCTGTCAAAAAACTTCAGGATGACTAGCATTTTTAACAGCTCATCATATCAGAGTGAAGCTTTGCAAAAAAAATATATCGTGCATCCAAGAGGTGTGTAATGTATTCTCAGCCAAGCAAATTATATAAATGACTCCAAAAGTCAGGCTCCATAAACTGAGAATGAACGTTTCACAATGAAACATATAATTAAAAGGAATTTCCTCATCTTCAGCAAAATTATGAAACACAAGTTAAATGAAATCCAAAAATGATGTAGCTAACGTCAAAACCACCAACTAAATGGGAAAAAGAGAGACATAACATGTATTATGATAACATCAGGAAAAAGAAAAAAAAAAGACAGTTTTTAGTTACTTGGCTCATACCCTTTGAAATTCATTGAAGAAATAATAATAATAATTATAATAATAATAAAAGCAGTTAATCGCTTCAATTGAACGCCAAATTCTGCAAGTTATGCAGTCATATAACAAACAGGGAAAAGGAAAACCCTAAAACTAAATCGGAATTGAATTGTTCGATTGAGTTTCGAAAGGAAAAAAAAAAAAAGTGGTGAAAGAGGAAAAACAAAGACTTACTGAGAATTGAGGCTGACGCAAATTCGATTGTCGTAGAAAGGGTGTGCAAATTATTTTTATTTCCGTGCAGAACAGAGACACAGAGAGAGAGAGAGAGAACAGCAGATTCAGAACAGAGGAGGGAGATTCAGGTGAGGAAAGGCATATGGAGCCTCGTGTGTGCCTTACAAATCAAGACCTCATTGGATATTCTCTTTTGTTAAAAAGTCAACTTTTTTGTTTATGAAGTGAACATGGGCTTGCGTCATTGGAGCCCGGACCCGCCCGGCCCAACCCACCATGCCAAATTTGTTGTCCCCCTTGAGTCCTTGACCTATGGTTTTGCGCTCTCTCTCTCTCTCTCTCTCACTCTCACTCTCACTCATTCTAACAATTACGGAGTTCATCATGTAATAAGATAGCTTAATGAGTGGTTTGGTAGAAGGTTTTTTTTATGATTTTCGAGAAATTAAATTTTTTTAAATTTTTAATTTTTAAATATTACTGTAAACTGAATATTTTCATCATATTTCTGAAAATTGAGATTCTCAGATAAAAAAAAAATTCTTGTACCAAACACTCCTTAAAGAATTAAATCAGTATATGAAAACTGAATGAGACTAGTGGATAACCACTGTAATCAGTTAAAAAATATACAAGAGATTCACCAAATTATAGGATGACTTGAGAGAAAAAAATATTTCTAACTTTATTCTCTTTTTGTGCTAAAAAATAAGGAAACAATATTTGTTCTTTTAAATGTCATTTTAGATTTTAATTGTAGATTTTCGTCAATCAACAATTAGAATTTATTGGGTCAAACTTATTAACTAATTAATAATGCACAATAAAATTCAGTAAATCCTAACTGTTAATTGATGGAAATCAATATCTAAAACGACACAAAGTTATGTCCTGTATGAGGACAAACATTTTTCCCAAAAATTAAATATGAATTACCAAAACAGATTTATATTCCCTTATTTAAAGAAAGTAACATAAAAATATTTTAGAAGGACACGAGAAGGGTAATTAGAAGGGTAAACTTTTGCTACCAAAAAAAAAGAAGGGTAAACTTTCTATCATTAATTAATTGAGATTAAACTTTTATCGTTATCAACAAAAAAACTTAACTTTATTAAAAAGTTTTATTAGTTGAAATATTAAAAAGACAAAAAAAATTGAAGAAATAAAAAATCATTTATAATATGAACAAAATACATCGTATATATATGATTTAAATTTTCTTTTTTGATTAATAAATATTATCTAAACAATTTTTCAAATTTGAATTTCTCAATTAATTATTTAATATAGAAAATTAAAATACTCAAATAATTATGACATTAAAATTTGAGGTCCAATTACAATATTTGTTTTACTCGTACTCTTGGCCAATTGCCTATCATTTAATTTTTTATTCAGTGGTGTACTAAAAAAATAATAACTCAGTGAGGTAACTATTTTTAATTGTGTCTGTTTTTAGATTATTTTAATATGCTTTTAAATTAAAAAATATTGGTGGATTCTATTTTATTGTGTCGATTAACAATTGTCCTGAGACAGTTGTTAAGGTATAAAAAAGTAAATATTTAATAAAAGGTATAACATTTAATACATTGAGAAGTATTTAATGAAAAGTATAACATTTAAAATTTTATCGTGTCTATCAATAAGTATCATAAGACACTTGTTAAGGAATAAAAAATCAAAGAAAAGTACAACATTTAATATATTCATAATTGAAAAATTAATTGTATTCAATATTTTATATTTTTGAATATTAGCAAGTGGATTAAAGACAATTGTTAGCAAGATTACCAAAAACATATATTTATTTATTTTATATATTTAATTAATGATATTTGAAGAATATAATTTCATGATTAATAAGAAGTATAAATAGAAAATTGTAAAATTTCGTTTGACGATTAGAGACTTGTGGTCGATGGAATAAATGAGCTAATTAACGCATACACCACACCACACCACACCACACCCTTTTCTTCAAGTAAATTTTCAGTAGTCTGTCTGTGGTACATATTCCTTCATTAAAAGTAGAAATAGGTCAAATTAGTGTGACATTAATTAAAAATAAACGTGTGGAATGAATATAATTAAATAAATATATATTTTTTCTAATTTTAATAAGTAACGAATTAAGTCTTCGGTAGTAATTTACAAAAAAAAAAGTCTTCGGTAGTAGCACTGCATAAATTTTCCTTTTTCTTAATTTGAATCTACACACAATGGCACCATTTGAAGAAAGTTTTTTTACACTTGAGACAATAAGGCGCTTCATTGATTCATTGTTATTTCCGAGAAAGAATATTAAAGACCACAACAAGGAATCAACATAAACCAAATCCCTTATAACCACTTCAACCCAAAACTTTAAGGTTTTGAATTAGGGCTTTTTTAATAATTTATAAAGAACTTGAAGTGTGAATATTGCACAGGCTCCATTTTTGGTTTACTTTTTGTGCACCTTATGGTCCCTTAAGGTTTTGAGTAAGGGCCTTTTTAATGATTTATATTATTCTCTAACACACTCCCTTACACCTCATGATCCCTTAAGGTTTTGAGTAAGGGCTTTTTTAATGATTTATAGTATTCTCTAACACATCCCCTCACACAAGAGCCCTTTAGGCAGTGTGTGTAGGAAATCTTAGATTTATGCGGAAGCGGTTTAGGACCTAGTACATTGGTATGCTTACCGAATCATCCTTGTTTCACAATTATCTCTCGGTGCGCAGGTCTCGTGTAGAATCTTCCCTTGTAGGATTCCTCTTCACGAACAGCTCACCTCAGCGCCGCAGCACGAACAACCTCCTTGAAGCTGGAATGTGGCAGATCTTCCAAACTATCTCTCGAGGAGGAAGGGGAAGTGTGCGGGCACTGATTAGATTCTGAGCTTGCCTCTTTCTCACAAAAAAGACCCAGGAGGCTGATGACTTAAGAGGTACTATTTATATGGGTTCCAAGAAACCCTAGCTCATTGGGCTCTAGGTTCCTTGGGCTCTTCTCATACTAATAACCCATTTGGGCTTTAGTAAAAGAGCAAACCCAACAATCTCCCACTTGCTCTTTTGGATACAAACTTGAGTCGTAAAACCCAAGATCATGTAACCCATAAGTCATCATCTATCCGAAAAATACCCCAACCCTTGTCTCAAGCTAGCTTGGGGAACTACCATCTGTTATTAATCAAGGCTCCTGTCCTGATAATCAACGAATGATTATCTAATTCGGTGCTACTCCACTAAAAGCCCGAACTTGAACTCCAAGATTAACAACACTTATAACATGAATATGCATCGCCCCTTTGTAGAATGTCAATAATTGATTGACAAGTTTTCTGTAACTCAATCAATTATTTATTCCCTTGACTATGATAGTTTCTCTGATGGATTACATGCACTGGCCAGTGTCTTTAATATCCAAGTACTGAAACATATCAAGGGGACATATCCTACAAATTCCATGTTGTTTATCTCATAAATACCGATAATCAAATAATCTCACTCCCAAAATACCGAGTTATTGGCCGTCAATAGATCGAACCTCACCCGTTGGTAAATCAAAGAATGAAAACTATTTGATTACCTATTTATAATAAACTCAGGATTAAGAGCAATCACATAACTATAGTTAACTGGAGATTTGATACCTTATGACAGAAAAACAACCTTAATCAAATCTCTCCTTGATCCTTTCAATGTGAATGTTAATTCACACCAATATTTTACAATGATTCAGACAAAATCATTTCATAAAATATTGCAGCCTGAATAAAGTGCCTAACTTTATTTAACGGCTGTGACTCCATTCATCAATTGTGAGATCCTATGATCATGTCCTCCATGAACGTATCCATATGATCATATACTCCACAATTTGATCTGGACCTTTATGTTTGTAAATAGTGTGCAAAATAAATAAATAAAACCTTATTTATGAAATTCAGAAAATTATTTTATTGTTTCATCGTCTTATTCCAAGAGCACAATCAAACCAATAACTCCCACTTGCTTAATGCAAGTCTGGGATCCTCCTAAGACCCAAAGAAGTAACATGCCTCTCGAACACAAGTTCAGGCAAACTCTTAGTAACTGGGTCTACAAGATCCACCTCTAATGTTATATGAGTTTAGTGAAAAACTCATAACTCGAGGTTGATTTTCTTGCGTCAATATCCATTTGAAATAACTGAATTTTTGAAAACTCAGCTTTTCAAGACTCCCACTAAAATATACCAGCATATAATCTCTCGTTCTCCAAAGATACTTGAGTACATGCTTAACAATAATCTAGTATTCCTCTAGGTTCAAAATGGTACTATCTCACTACTCCCACTGCGTGACAGATGTCTGGTTTAACGCCCAACATGATATGCATGAGTCTACCTTTGCCAAAGCATAAGATATCTTGCTCATGCATTCTTCCTTCTTAGAAGTCTTTGGTGACTCCTTAGGAAGATGAATTCCACATCTGAGAATTATAATTCTTCTCTTAGAATTCTCATGTTGAATTTTGGCAAGAGTTTTGTCAATGTAAGTAGCCTGAGGTGATGCCAACAACTTATTCTTCCGGCCTCATAAGAGTTTTATCTCAAGAATATAATTGGCTTCCCCACTACTTTCATACCAAAACACTAACTTAGCCAACTCTTTATGCTTGATATTACCTCAACATTGTTTCCAATAAGGAGCATATCATCTACATAAAGTACCAGAAAAACTATTGTCTAACGTTGTATCCTTTACATACAAATACACATCATTCATCAAGGTTCTCTCAAAATCAAAATTTTGATAACCTGATCAAAACTGATGTTTCAAGACCTGGATGCTTGCTTAAGTCTATGAAATAGACTTTCACAACTTGCATACCGTGTGTTCCTACTCATTTGCTATAAACCCTTTTGGTTGTTGTATGTAGATATCCTGACATCCAACTCCCAAAATGAAATCTCATAATTGATTGTATTATATCCACACATTACCCAATATATTTATATTTATTGTATTATATTTTGTTTTTTGTTTTTCCTTTCTCTTTCTACATAATCTTATCAGATTGCTAATTAGGTGCTCATCAAACACAGGACATGATATAGGCTTGTCAGCCTCATATCATATCCTATCT